CCTTCAACTACACCGATGGTTCACTGGGAAACGGAAATGCTTGAAGTCAGGCTGATGTGTATCTATGAGTATGGCAAGTCATCTACCTTCTTTTTTTTTTTTTTTGAGTTGGAGCCTCACTCTTGTCGCCCAGGCAGGAATGCAGTGGCATGCTCATGGCCACTGCAGCCTCCACCTGCTGGACTTAGGCAATCCTTCCTCCTCAGCCTTTGAAGTAGCTGCAACTACAGATGCACGCCACCACATCCGGCTAGTTTTTGTGATTTATAGTAGAGACCAGGTCTCACCAAGTTACCCAGGCTGGTCTCAAATCCCTGGGCTCAGGCAATCCACTCGCCTCGGCCTTCCAAAGTGCTGGAATTACAGGCTGAGCCACCACGTGGCCATCATCCACCTTTTAAGGAGTGGTTGTCCAGAGACCACTGGGTAAAGATACTATCCAGAGGACCTCAATAAAATGTCAGCCACATTCAGCTCTTATGACATTGTCAGTTCTCAAAATAACTATTTGAAAGTGTGTCTGGCTCCACTAAAGCTTTCAAGATGTTTTCTCCTAGATAACACCACTATTTTTTCTTTTATCAGATTGATCCTGACTTGAGCTTCGCTCTGAAGTTCAATGATTGGAGGGAGATAATTCAGGATTCAGTTACTGATTTTTAGTTAAGTAGATCTGGACCTAGATCTCACTGCTTACTATGGGGTTATATTCCCAGTATTTCTTTAGCCAAAACATTATCTTTCTCTAAAGAAATAGCTTGTGTGTGTATGTGAGAGATGCTTCCAATTTAGGGAAGAAAGTTAGAGTGACATTTGTTCTCAGGCACAGGGTGTGTCATTATAGAGTGGCTCTGACTCTCCTGACTGATGAAGCAGTTGCTGATGGATGAGATCTGTCTAGATGGTGAAAAATGTGTAGTAATGGGGAAGATGATGGATTTTATGATGCTAAGCATATCAAGGTTAAGATGGCTTACATTGGTAAAAAAGGCAATTTCAAAATATCTGTACAGTAAATAAATATTATTTTCTTAGGCATGAGACTCGATTTCACAGTTACAGAGTTCTCCTTTGTTCTTCCTGTTACATTCTACTACCATTGAAATACGGAAATAGTCATGTGATGATAAATAGCACATTTTGGTATAGAACCCTTCTTTGGCTAATATTGATCTTAACATTTCCCCAAGGACATAGTCGCTTACTTTTCCATTTTGCCATAGGAGGAGCAGAAACAAGAGCAGTTGTTTATGTCTATGCGACTTAAAGGAATTACCGTTTCTTGCATTACACAAACACCTATTCACTCACATAATATTATATTCACTTCAGTTATTTGACTGTCTTGACCAGGATTATCTGGTGACACTTGTTCTCCATTTTCTTTATTCTGTGTGTGTATTGTATGAATTAAGCAATGGACTCTATTATAGTTTGAATAAGTATAACACAAGCTATCTGTGTATTTGTCTGCTATTACCATGATAATGCTGTATAACAAACCATCCAAAATTCAGTGGCTTAAAATTCACTTATGTTTGCCTGCCTCTGTTTCGGACTGCAAGTTGACTGCCCTTGGCTCTCAAATTTAGGCGGGATTCAAAGTCTTGTCCACATGATTCCACTTTCTCTTTGGACCAGCAGTTACTCACAGTGTGATCTTCAAGTGGATCACAGGAGCACAAAAAGCCTAGCCAAAAAGCACAAGCACATTTAAGACTTCTGCCTGTTACCAAACCAGGCCCGTTTTGCCCACCACATAGTATGCCAGTCACCGAGATGACGAGTTGTGCCTGAAAGGATTTATTCACAAGCCTGTTAAGCAAGGAGGTAGGAGAACAGGTCTCAAATCCACCTCCTCAAAGACGAGGCTTTAAAGATATTTATGGGAAAGAGAAGCGGGATTGTCTGAGGCATGGGGAAAGGTGTCTGGGTGTAGGGAAAAGTGAGGCAATTGGTGTTCTGCGCAAGCACAGTCAAGCTTCGTGGCTCCTCCTAGAACACCTATTTGAATAATAATAATAACTGTGTTAACATTACCTGAGGGTGGAGATCTCAGCCCTCTGACGTCAAAAGGTCACGCCTCTGACATTTGCACAGGTCCAGTTGAAGGATTGATGGTCTTACCCTGTTTGAACTGAATAAGAGCCAACTGAGTTTCTGAAAAACAACAGGCAACCCTCACCATTGTGACCCATATATCAGGAATATTATCTACAGAAAAGCTGAAAAGAGTCTTTAAAAAATAACAACTAAAAGCAGGTTAAAGTTGGATAAGCCTAGTCAGGTTGCCCGCTTCATGCCTGCTTTATGAATGCTAATACTTATTGTGCAAAGGCAGTCATATGGGCAAGCCTAACATCAAGTGAACAGAAAAATATACTCTGTTTATTCTAGTGATCTGCGAAAAGAAGGGTGAGGAATTAAGAATCAGTCAGTCTACCACCCAGTCAGTGGTCGCACATGCCAAATGTTTAAGGATTCTTGTTCTGGGATTCTCTAAAATGAGGCCTTATGGCATTAGTAGGAGAAGGAGGAGGGAGAGGAGAAGGACTGTGTAATAAGTGTGTATAATATCATTCACTATGGCCAAGTACAATTGTCATTCTTCTCTTATTAATGTATTAGCAACAGTTAAACAAGTAGTAATAAATATATATCTTGAGGCTGGGTGTGGTGTGGTGGCTTATGCCTATAATCCCCAGTACTTTGGGAGGCTGAGGCAAGAGAATTGCTTGAGATCAGGAGTTTGAGACCAGCATGGGCAACATAACAAAACCTCATCTGTACAAAAAAAATCAAAAAATTAGCCAGGTGTGGGAGCATATGCCTGTACTCCCAGCTACTCGAGAGGCTGAGGAGAAAGGATCACCTGGGCCTAGGAGGTCGATGCTGAGATGAACTGTGATCGTGCCACTGCACTCCAGCTGGGGTGACAGAATAAGACCCTGACTAAAACAAAAACAAAACAAAAGGAGCAGCGCATTCTGCTCCTACCATTCTTCTGATCAATAACCTTTAAAGTGGGTTCCATTATCCGCAGAATAAAGACTAAAGGCAAGCTCTGTAATGGTCATTTGAGGCCCTCTAGAGAATGGTTTATCCTATTTTCCCAATCTTAATTCTCATTGTTCTCTTTTATGTGTCCCATTATTTTCTCAAACAGAATTATGTTTATCTATGCATATAATATAAACTCTTGTCCATTTACCTTTGATCATGAGGTTTTTCAGCTTGGAATTACCAAAACCAATTCCATTTCTTCATAGTCTTTTTGTCCCTCAAGACCCAGATCAAATATCACTTCCTTCTTGGAGCATTCTAGATCCTCTAAGCCTGAAGTAATCTCTCCTTTCTTGTAAAACTACAAGACTTTGTCTTTTTATGGAACCTATCATTTTCTAAATTGTATCATCATTGTTTATTTATGTCTCATCACTGCTAATGGACTATTATTCATTGTTTCCCATTTCAATACTAAATATACTTCCTTGAATATTAAAACAATATTTAATAAGTAAATTTATCAATCCATTAATACCCTAAGTCATTGTTTTCCCTGCTATGCATGCCAATAAGCTTAAGTGGTTTCCTTAAGAAACAATCATTCCACACTGGAGTCAAAGTTGTTCAAACTCCTCCAAATCCAAATCCTTCTTTAGTTTGCAAGCCTGTTTCAGATGAGCAGAACCATTAACAACATGTGGTGCAGCACAGGGTATGGTTTAGATCTCAAATAATTTTGTCCTGCCGTCTGTGAATATCAGGGACCATTTCAGCTCTAGGAAATGTCTGACTGTGCAAAATACTCTCTAGTTTTACCTAACTTAGAAGCTATGGACAGGGCAACCTGACCTACTAAATAATGCACCTGTACCAAAAGCCACTCTACACATTTGCTGTATGTTGGATTTGTAGTCAAGGGATGAGAGCGGCCATTGTTTGAATTTCCTGCCAAGATCCAAGTACAAAATCTTAGCGCCCCCTAATGTTAAAAGCAACCCTTTTACTGTTAGCTGGTAAATGGAATGAGACTAATACGTGGAAGTCCAATGCCTTTGAAGTTTAACATTGAACTAGCAGTGACCTTTATTTGTATGGAATGCAAGCTACATGAACATTCCTTTGAGTGCCTGTTTTGAGCTTAATTCATGCTCGTCGTTTCTTTCAAAACTGTCAATATGTTTTACTTCCTTTTATGCTCTTCCCAAGTCATTTCTAAGGCAATTGCATAGGCCATGGGATGGACAGAACTAAATCCTGTGTTCTAAGTATTTTGTTCTGTGCTTTTTGATAATAGACTACCTAATCGTTTTAAGATTATTCTTTATCTCTCTTTTGTATTTTTCGCCTGAATTATAAAATTTTAATCTCAAAGTAGACAGTTTTTCTCCAATAAAGTTTTCTTTTTTATTCAGCATCTTCTTTTTTTAAAAACAAAAAGTCAAATATAGAGTGTGGCTTAATATACACTTGGCTGTAGTGTTAAATGCTTCTCAGCCTCTTTCCGTTTAGACTATGTAAATAAAAGGTATGTTAGGAGTCAATTTTCTTGAAGTATTGGGCAAATTCTTCATAGATTCAGTTTCCAATCTGCAAGGGTTCATAAAAACAGAATATAAAATTAACACATGTGCATATTTTCCACAGCTTTCTTATGCAAACTAATTGATTTTGTATAAAATCGGATTTTCAAGGTTAGAAGGAGCTTCAATAAATCACATTAGCAGTTCCAAGTGTGTGCATAGAATCCAATGTGGCTCTTCACTTCTCCCAGCAACTCTGTGTGAGTGAGAAGGAGATGAAAGGTGAATCTAGGGAGAGGAAGAGAGAAGTAAGGAAGGGGCAATGTCAGCCAAAGCCTGCGGACGCTCAGGGAATGATCTGCTCATGTTCACAAAAGTGTGACAGGAAAGAGAAACTATTCTTTTGAAAACCTTCTGTATAATTTAAGAGCCGTTATGTTTATTCTTCATAGTGACATGTCTGCTTTAACACAGGGCCTCAGCAAGGATGTGGTGGTTACCTGACGGATTCCAATAATACCTTTGTCTCTCCTGATTGGGATGCAAATGGAAGATATGACAAGAATTTAAACTGCATATGGTTCATAATTGCACCTGAGAACAAACTCATTAAACTCACCTTCCATACATTCGCTCTTGAGGCACCAACAACTATGCAGAGATGCATTTATGATTATGTGAAGGTAAGGCTATTTTATTTTATTTATGCATTCATTCCTTTATTCTAGTCAGAGTCTCACTCTGTCACCCGGACTGGAGTATGGTGGCACACTCATAACTACTGCAGCCTCAACCTGTTGGGTTCAGGTGATTCTTTCGCCTCAGTCTCCCGAGTAGTTGGGACTACAGGCATGTGCCCCCATGCCTGGCTAATTTTTTGATTTATTGTAGAAACAAGGTTTTACCAAGTTGCCCAGGCTGGTCTTGAACCCATGGGCTCAGACAATTCTCTCATTTCTGCCTTCCAAAGTGCTGGGATTATAGGCTTGAGCTACTGTGCCCTGTCTTTTATTTTTTAACGGTTCACTAATCCCAGACTTTAATAGAGTATATTCCAGTTTATACCACGTATGTAGGAAGTCCTGAAAATTGTGAATATGGGTACTACTGCTTTTTAAAATGACCTATTCTTCAATGATGCAATGTATAATATTATAGATGCTCTATCTTCATATTCAATTAACCTATAATATTAGTGACTACAAATTTTTGTGTGGCTTCTAACATTAGAGTTAAATCCCCTGCTCATTGGTGCCTTGCAAGAGATGATCTATTGGAAGACTGGTTTTATGTAGAAAGATACTCAAAGGACCTTTGGAAAACCCCAAAATAAATGACAGTGTCTATGATGCAAATAATCACTCCTTCATTTGTCTGCTTCTTAAACTTATAGATTTATTTCTCATATTACCATCAGTATGGAAAATACCGTAGTTCTGAAGTCTCATTAAAACTTAAATCAAAAGATCTTTCTTTTCAATTTTTAAAAGACTCTTTAATATTAAGTTATTGTACCTGTCAGGCTATATGCATTCAATTACAAGTGTTAAGTAGCATCAGTCAATATTTACTACTGCACTCTCAGGGGGAAAATTGCAAGTATGAAAAGATTTCTGTCCATGAGGCTCTTAAGTCTGATTGGAGAATTAAGAGATGTTACATGCAGATCAACAATGACCAGTTCAGGATAGTAAATATTAAAGTGCTAACTAATGCATTAGATACAGGCTTGTAGCAATGTGCAAATTTAAAAGGGGAAAAAGTTACTGATAATCTGGCATGATCAAGAAAGACTTCATTGTGTGAGAGAAAACTTGAAATTCAAGTCAGGAGAGAATTCTAGTCAAGGTAAACATTTTTAAAAGGCATAGGAGTTACAATGTGCATGTTCTTGAAAGAGTAATAGAGACGGGCTTTGTTGGAGCAGAATGTTGCAAAAAAAAAAAAAATAGCAAGAAAAAAGATTGATATCCAGATTACAAAGGACCTTGAAAGTCAAACTAATGAATTGAGATTGTATGCAGCTGAAAATCAGAAGTGATTGAAGGGTTTCCAGTGAGCAAAAGGATGAGAGTAGTTGTTAAGGAAGACAAACCTAAAATCAGCAACCACGGGGAATTGGAAGGAGAAGAGTTTCAAGTGAGGAGGTCACTTTTAGATCTGGATCAGGGAATACAGCCATGGTGGAGACAGCAAGACCAGATCAGTGCAAGAAAAACTTTTGAGTTCTTGGATTGTCATAAATTGTCATAAAGAAATTGGTGTTAAAAGAAAGGAGCTGGGCATGGTAGCTTGAACCTGTAATCTCAGCACTTTGGGAGGCTGAGGTGAGAGGATTGCCTGAGCCCAGCGGTTTGAGATCAGCCTGGACAACTTGGTGAGACCTTGTGGCTACAATAAATCCCCCCAAAATTAGTCAGTCATGGTAGTGCACGCCTGTAGTTCAGGCTACTTGGAAGGCTGAGGCAGAAGGATCATCTGAGTCCAGCATGTCGATGCTAGGTTGGCTGTGAGCAAGGTACTTTGCTTCAGCCTAGGCGATGGAGTGAGACTCTGTAAGGCAAGTGCGGAGAAAGAGAGGGCGAGTCAAGTGATTAATGAAAATTTATTAGAGGGAAAGGAAAGAAAGGCTGGCCCTAAAGAAGAACCAGCAGCTTTGTTCTCTTGCAGGCCCCTTATAAAACCCCAGTCCAGGCTTATTGGGCTCCAAGAAGCAGTTTAGGGAGTTTGAGCTGTTGGTTGTCTGGCCTTGAGATGCTGCTGTGGACACTGTTGGGGCTGCTGGTCCCACGGCCTTGGAGTGCACATGTCCTCACTAAACCAGTCACACTTGTCTCTGAAATGCTGCCTTAGGAAAGCAAGCACTGACTGTCAGTACCAGGCTGATATCAGCCACATCGCTTTGGGATGCGGTCTTGGTCTGGGTCTCGGGAAAGCAGATATTGGCAGTAAAGCAATTAGTAACAGGATGCTGTTAGAGCAGAGTGTTAGCTTTTTTGCAACTCTGTGCTACGTTTGCGAGGTTCACATCATGAGATGCTTTAACTACGACCTCCTTTCCCATCCCCCTACAACCCTATCAGACTCCAACTAAAAAAAAAAAAAAAAAAAAAAA